CTATTGTGCCTAATGGACAAGTCAGCTGTGGGCACCCAGAGTTATTCACCCACTCTCCATCCCCCTTTTCCTGACCTGCCTCAGCATCCCTCTCCTACAGCCTGGTAGGGATGAATTTAAAAGCCATTCTTTTTCCTCCACCCAGCCTGGTTTCCTTCTACCCACTATCTAATACACATACGTGTCCCAAAAGAAAACATGGGACATTGGGATAAACCAGGCACATCTTCCTAATGCAACTTATAGTATAATAGTTGAGTAATCATTAGGCATTTAAAAAGTATTGCTTTCGGGATCCCTGGGTGGCGCAGTGGTTTGGCGCCTGTCTTTGGCCCAGGGCACGATCCTGGAGACTCGGGATCGAATCCCACCTCAGGCTCCGGGTGCATGGAGCCTGCTTCTCCCTCTGCCTGTGTCTCTGCCTCTCTCTCTCTCTCTCTCTCTCTGTGACTGTCATAAATAAAAAAAAATAAAAATTAAAAAAAAATTAAAAAATTAAAAAGTATTGCTTTCATGAGTTTTTCATTTATTTTTCTCACTTAAATTTTTTTACTGCGCTCTGCTTTGATGTTTTCCTATCCCTTGTTAACTTCCATTTGTTAATTTTACTTTATTTCTAATCTTGGATCTTTTTTAAGTCTGTAAAAAAGCTTTTGACCTCTGAAATTCTAATGACTTCTGATTTCTTGGTTATGTGTCCCGCTGTTTGCAAATTCTCCATCTTTTCACAAACTTTTCACCTCCTCGTTCACTTTCTCAAATTTTAGGTATGCCTTTTTTATGTACATACCTTTATTTTATTGATTACATTTTCTGAAGTGTTATTCCTCTTACCATTTCTAGAAATTATTTAGACTATAATAATTCAGATCCCTTTCACTGTATGTTTATTCCAGCCCAATCTTGTTTAATATAGTTAATGTATTATATGTATATATAAATCATCCTTTTTCTAAAGTATCTTCTATTTCATTTGTTATATCTTTTCTACATTATTTCCTCGCTTTTAAAAGGCATATTATATTTGGCATCTTCCTACAGAAAAGCAAGTCCCAATATAGTTGAAATTTTCTGTCTCCAAAATGAGTTCTGTTCAAATTATTCTGTTTTCATCATGCTTGAAAGTTATTTGTATCATGTAGGGGAGGGGAACTAAGAAATTGTGTATTTTTATCATTACATAAAAATCACATTTCCATTATTGATCATATCTGAGCTAATTAATAGACTAGCTAATAAACTAAAATACATGTTGTTCTTTAAAAACACATATTCAAAATATGGTCCTGATATGGTACAGTCATTGCAAACCATCTTACAGATGAGCTGTTTACAACTTACGTGCTAAAATCGTTTAAATTGGACCCAGCATGGTGGGCCTTATCTTGAATTGTGTTCTAAAAGGAATTATGTATAATGTGGAAACAATGTGGTAGCAATGGTACAATAAAACTTTTTAAAAATAGCTTCAACATATTGTTCCATTGTGTAAGAACTTTTCCTTGCATTTTTCAAAACACATCTTGCTCTATCATGAACTGTAAAATGTATATACCTTTTTAAAGAACATCAGAAGAATTTCTAGATGCCAACACATCCAAAGATCTACTATTTTTATTTTTTATTTATTTATTTATTTATTTATTAGATCTACTATTTTTAATATAATTTCATAGAACCCATTTCAACAGAGTTTAGGAGATAGAAAGATTAACATATTTTGATCGCCTTACATATTTCTGTAATGGATTTTCTCTCCTCCCATTTACCTTAAATTCCTTCAATACCCACATAAAGGCTGATATCAGTTTTGCTCACATTGTGTATATGGATAAAAACTTACGGTTAGATATATATTACAATCACTGAGAAACTTGTTAGGCATGCAGGTGCTGGGTCCCACACCAAATCTCCTAGTAAAAGGGGCCTAGCCTTCAATATTCTAAAAAGCTCCAAAGGAAATTTTGATGCCTACCAGAGTTTGCCTTAAAACGCAGGAAATTTGGAAATTGAATGTTAAGACTAAAGTTTCTTTCCTGCTTCTTAAATAGCACAAGTTAAAAACACAGTCATCAAATGAAAGGGTGCTGGCCTTGGATATTCTGTAGGTTTTCTTTGGAAAAAAGATAGTGGCCTAAAATGGAAAATGGACTTGTTTCATTTGGAATGTTTTAAAAATACATTTAGAAGTCTAATTAAAGACAATTACAGAAGTTGGAAATTTTTTTCCATAAGATGTTCCAAAGCAACATGAAATGGTAATAAGCTATGTTATTCACAGAATAAATCTCAAGAGTGAGTGTTTTCATCATTTATCTAATTTTGAGACAGTCCTGTATTTAATTAATATATTTGATTAGGGATCCCTGGGTGGCACAGCGGTTTGGTGCCTGCCTTTGGCCCAGGGCGCGATCCTGGAGACCCGGGATCGAATCCCACGTCGGGCTCCCAGTGCATGGAGCCTGCTTCTCCCTCTGCCTATGTCTCTGCCTCTCTCTCTCTCTCTCTCTGTGACCATCATAAATAAATAAAAAATAAAAAATTTTGAAATATATATATATATATATATATATATATATATATATGATTAATCATGCAAGTTGACTAATAGAAAAAGTTCCTAGGATAAGAACTTACCAACAACTCCTCAGTGAAGAGGAATCAGCATAGGTTGACATGCTATGACACATAATTGCATGCTTCGTATTTGGAAGCTTGTTTTTGTTCTAACCCCACCATTAAATTTTTTTTGAGGGTCTGAGAGCTACAATTGTCATAGGTGGTAGTCAACTCAGAGGATCAGCATTGGCCAAAGCCCAAAATAACCAAAATACTAATCACCACATACAGAAATTTTTACATCTCAACAACAGACAAATGTCCACTTGAAGGAACATTCTAGCATCTAACTGACTGCTTTTTAGAGTTTATTATAAAGGACTATTGCTACTAGAACAAGTGGGTTTGTCACGTAGAAATCCCAGGGATAAGTAAGTCTGGTCTATGTTCAGAGTGGTGACGTGGACACAGTGGCAGTGGTAGTGGCGCAGGGTTCAGAAGGAAAAAAAACAAACAGAAACTAACAGGAATGTCCAAAACTCTATCCAAGTCTGGGTCTAGTAGATGTACAGGTAGGGTTGTCAGATATAATACAGAACATTCGATTACACTGGAATTTCAGATGAATAACAAACTTTTAGTATAAGTGTATTCCCAATAGCATCTGTAATATAACCTTTGCAATATTGTATATTTGAGATATGCTAAATATTCTAAATTAAGAGTTCTTTATCTGAAACTCCAATTTAACTGGGCATCATGTACTTTTATTTGCTAAATCTGGCAACCCCACATACAGGGTACTTTGGACAACTTTCCACATTTCAGGGAAAGGATGCTTGATAGTCATTATTTCATTAACCTTTAAGAGAACTGCTGATATTTATTTACCTCTTACTAAATTTTAAAAATACTTTTTCCGTTTTCATCCTCTTTTTGTGCTTAATCCCTCTTCTTCTTTATATACATTATCATATAAAATATGTCAGTATCACATAAAATGTCAGTTGACATTGGAATGGGAATACATGAGATTCAAAAGAGGGCTCAGTGAGGTGGACTTGAACAGGGAAAATGTGAAATTAATAGCCTCTTCCTGGGACCTTCACCAGCACATAGTAGTTGCTTAAGAAATAGTTGGCTGTGAGTCGGATGGGTGGCACAGTCGGTTAAGCATCTGACTCTTGGTTTGGCTCAGGTCATGATCTCAGGGTCATGAGATGCAGCCCCAGGTCAGGTCCGTGCTCAGGGCAGAGTCCGCTTGAGATTCTCTCTCTCTCTCTCTCTCCCTCTTCCTCTGCCCCTCCTCCATGCTCTCTCTCAGCCTCTCTACAAGAAATAAATGAATGAAAAAAAAAAGTCGGTTGAATGAACCACTAAAGGAGTAGGAAAAATAAAATACTTTTTCTTCCAGTTTTTAAACCAGAAACTTTTCAAAGTTATAGTCAACTAATTGGGCAGGATTTTATATCCCAGGAAACTCTGACGCATAACAGAGTTGTTAGAGGCATCTAAACATATCCCCTCGGCCCATAATTTACAGACCTTTCTAGTGCTTCATATTATGCAGTTGTTCTCTAGGTCTTGTTACACAATGCATGGTCCAAAAACCATCAGCACCAGCAATGGCATCTCCTGAGGCCTTGGAGGAGTGACCGCTGTGACAGTCTTTGCTGAGTCAGAATGGTGTGGTTAGCGAGATCCCCAACAGATGGGGAGCACATTTTAAAATGATGGCTAGGTGAACCTAATTCACAAACCAATCATTTTTAAGAATGGGCAATCCAGCCTTGCAAAGTAAAGCTATCAATTAATCCCACCAGCTCCTAAGTTTTAAATCAATTGACTAGCCTTCCAAAGACAGGGCACTTAGAAACTATAACCATCCCGGGATTTGGTACTCACACAAGTAGGGACAGAACCAGTTTACACTGAAGTAAAAGAAAGTCATTGCTTTCCTGGGAATCATCAATCTTCATGACGAAGTTCGGTAAGTTGTTAGCTGTGATTCTCAACCTGGTATTTTTTTAATGAGCCCTTTGAGAAGTTGAATGAAAGTTCCCCACAGAAAACAAGGTTTACATGGAAATATATTCAGGACTTGCATCAAGTTTTTTGAGATTCATGGACCCCCAGAAGCCAGTTTGGTGACTCTCTAAATGCTCATAAATTCTGTCTTCCACACGGAGCTGAGGATTTCTGGTAGCAGTTTCCACATCTCCCCAGACCCCCTTATATCAATAGATGGGTAAATGATGGGTGGATTGAACAGGGCCAATTAGCATCGTCACACTCCAGGATCTTTGATGTTTCATACAACGGAAGCTCATCCACGTGCCTGTGATGAAAGATGTCTTCTTTTTCTAAAGTCAAATTGCTTTTATGTGAGGAATCCACAAAACATGAAGGTAATTTTAGCAACTGTCCTTTCTTTACCTCAGCTGGCCTGGGAGCAGAAGTTTCAGTAAGGAGCACTAGAAACACGGCTCCACCCCAAAACCCCACTACTCTTAATGCAGTTCCATATAGCCCGGAACACCTTCTTAGGAACACCACAGAGGCCTTCACCAGGAGCACAACAGAACGTTACAGCCACAGCAGCAGACAGAGCCAGCACCCCCATCTGCAGATGACTGGAACGACAGAGACATCTTGGGTCCCCTGGACGACTCAACCCTTCCCCAGCACCACTGAACAGGTAAGGGGAGAGCGGGTGTGGAGTGTGACTTGGAAGGGTCTCAGAAAGCCCATTGCTTGAGAACATTCGCTCTGCTGGAAATGCCACTACCCACGTGTGTGGTTAGGGAGACTGTGTCCCAGCTGCTAACTCTGCACAAATGCATTTTGTGTGATGAAAAACTCTTTGAGATGGACCTAAAAGCCCTAAATCTTTATAAGGTAAAGATAATTTGGCTATGATGTCAAAACGCCCTCCTGCAGGTTGGTCATGTTTCTGAACCAAAGTCAGGGTCCATACTCTTGTGCTTAACCTTGCACCAGGATATAGGAATGGAAACCCTGCAGATTCCCCTGCGTAGACGTCACAATCGTTGATGCTCATAAGGGAGTGGAAAGAGTCACAAAGCAATGGAAGATTCTGGAATCTATGATCTGTGAATATGGTCAAATAAGTGAAGGCGTCTAACAGTTCCACAGCAGCCCCCACAGAGTGACAGGAGTCAGACGGCCAGGGGGTGGCGACCGTGCGGTCGTACAGTCTGCTCACGTAGTGTTGTAGTTTGAAGTGTCCATCCCTTCAGTTCTGCTTACCTCTCACGGTTTTAGGCCTCTGTTTGGGGCCATCGTAGTGCAATTACAGAAGTGTAACCCGCAAAGGCGGATCAAAACTGCTGCTTCATTTGGCAGTTGTTTAGCCGGCTTCTAATAAACAAACCATATAATGGAAAGAAGGTAAAAGCCCAACACTAGGCGTGTGACTTAACACCCATTTGGGGCTTTGCTTTCTTTCGCGTTGTGCAGAATTTAATGTTGCATCTGGTCCCAGGCTAGTAGGGACACACTTCATAGTTAATCACAAAGCAAACATAACCCACATTGAATAACTTGTGGAACTTTGTTTATATATTTATTTTTCCTTTAGTATAAATCGTCCTTGCAAACAGGTGCTTCCCTTGCCTCTGAGGAGAATTTAGGAAAGCCTCATGACCTCTCTGGATGCTCTTTATACCACTTTAAAACTCAACACTCATTCTCAACCCATGAATAAAGATATTCGTTTCAGGAAGTAACCCACACTGTAAATTCAATTTAAATGTGAGCTTGTCCTCTCTTATCATCCCTTCCCTTTAGGCTTGAAGTAGGGAAAGGGGGCTTGTCCAAAATCTCCCACTTCCCACCTAGCTTTTTACCCACCTCTCCTAGTTGGATCATTATGGTTCCAAACCTGTCAGGGCTTGGAAAGTGGGGAGGGAAGACAGGAAATGAGAGCAGGAGAGCTGGTACTTGAGATTGCCATCAGGAGTTGGCACAGGACTCGCCCTAAATCTCCCAACTCCTGAGTCCTTCTAATCATGGACGTGAGTGAGATTTGACACTTATTTTGAAATTGAACACTTTTTCGTGGAGCACCTTCTTGTTTAGGCTGAAAGCGTCTCAGCCAAAATGTCATTCTAACACTAGTTTGCTAAGAGCATTCACTTACATCTGAAAAAAATTGTGTGTGTGTGTGTGTGTGTATATTTGTATATATACACACATATGTATATGTGTATATATTTGTGATATTATGACATATATATATATTTGTGATATTATGACATATATATATATATATACTAAGTATGTCAAATAAGAAAGTGGTATAAAGAGCATCCAGAGAGGTCATGAGGCCTACCTAAATTCTACTATATATATACATATACGTATATGTATATATATATAACTTCTTTCACAACTAATACACAAAAACTTAAGTGTATATTTTAAGTATATAGCATATATTATATACATACATACCAGTACAGAAAAAGAAGTAAGCACAGATTGTACCGATATATCATATGTATCATATACTACAGTGATATTTATACTACACTATAGTATGTCAAATAAGAAATATGCTAAAAGTATAATGGGAACTTATCTGCCTGAATATTCAAGAATTAATTGCCTTTTAGCAAAAATATTTTCCCATTTTTGCTCACATTTGACCATTGTGAAACAAACATAGAGAGAGCCCCCAGAGGTGGCCAGGCTCTCCTGGGATGAGACAAGGACACCCAATTCCATGCTTAAGGCACACTAGCCTTTGGGCCAACCCAGGGCTGTGTTACAGAGCTCACACAACCCAACGCCAGAGTTGGATTTGCAGGCTCAGGTCATGGTAAAGACAGAGCAGGGTGTGTTTTGGTGTTTGCTTCTTAGTCTTTTCCCAAAGTGAAATCCACTGCAATGTTTATGAGCACCCAGATGCAGCACCAGAACGAGTACGTATCGAGCAGTCATCGAGTCATGACTCATGTCCCAGCTTTTCCTTGAAACTCAGACAAAATCTTAACTATGTCTTGGGAAGCTGAGTGTATAAAAGCTATGGTCCTTCCAAAGGCAGCTTCTAAAATTGCGATTTCCATGACTCTAATGCTTTAATCAAGGCATCTCTGCTAGACCATCATTTGATTTAGCATGAGGTTTACTCTATAACAGTCAATTATAAATAGCTGTAGTTTGATATTTTGAATGAAAAGGTTACTTGGGAGGAAAAATGCCTGTCCTTTGAAAGTAATTTTGAAAAGTAGTCTATCTTAATACCTAGAAGAGCATAAGAGAGAAATAAAATCAACTCGATTGCTTGGAATTCGGTAAAAAAGAAATTCTTTGTGTGTCAGTTGTCTTCTTCATCAGATAGCACCTGGTCTGTGATGAATTTGGATTGGCTTAGTATAACTGGGCTGTGAAGTGAAGTGGTCTGTTATCAGATGACGACAGGAAAAGTCCAAATGTGAGGATGGGGACTGCATTTATTCAACTCTGCATCTCCCGAATCTGAACATAATGCTTAATACATTATAAAGTTGTGTAGAAAGGAAAAGAAAGGTGTGTGATGGAGTGAAGAAAAATGGAGGGGGGAGTGGAATGGCATGAAGTGCAGTGGAGTGGAATGAAGAGGAGTGGAATGGTTTGGAAGCATATAAGAAAGTTTGAGACTGCAGCTAAGGCATGGGATTATATTCATTTGGTTTGATTGTTTATTATGAGTAGGACACAATTACCACACATTTCAGATGGATTGGTATTATAAATTCAGTGGTTTTTGTTCTTTGATGGAATGGAGAAGAGTGGAATGAAACGGAAAGGAGAGGAGTGGAGTGGAGCAGAGTGCAGGGAAATAGAATGGGGAAACTGTCAGGGAGTGCTGGATAAAAGAGTCGATTGAGGTGGTATGGAAGTGGGTGGAATTGTTGACATTTGGCCAGAAAATGACCCATCTACTGTCAGTGCCAAAATATGATGGTCATGTTGAAGAGCCTCGTACTTTTTTATTGTCTCAGTGTTGTAAAGTTCGTGTGTATCTAGGGCTTAATATGTTTAATACTTTAGTGTTTCATTCAGGGGCTAAGTCTCCAGTCTTTTTTCTCACTTCTGAATCCCTCCATTTCATCTCTTAATCACCCTTCAACCTCTCCTCCCCCTAAAAAATATTATAAGAAAATAAAGGGAATGAGGCATTGATGATTGTTCAATTTAATAACTTCAGAAAAGTGTTCATCAAGTCAACAGACATTTCTTGAGGACCTAACAAGTGTCAGAACAGAGTGGTTGAGAACTCAGTCTTTGAGGTCAATCCCCTAACTCTGCCTCTTACTAGCTACTGACCTGGCAAGTTACTCAAACTCTCTGAGCCTCAGTTTCCTCATCTATAAAATGGAACCTCTACCTCCAAGAGCTGTTGCAAGGATTGGGAGAGATAATACATGTAAAATACTTACTACAGCACTTGGTCTTTAGTAAACATTTCAGAAAAAATAGCTGTTATTTCTATCTTTCACTGAGACACAAAGAGAAATGATAAAAATTGTTGCCCTGAAGGAATGCACTATCTGCTGTGGTGTTGAGGGAAATAGAAACTTACGTAGGCTCTTATGGAATACAAAAGCAAGGTCCCTAACTGGTGTGAAGGTTTCAAGAAGTATCTTCTGGTAAAAGGAATATCTGAAGTAAGCCTAAAGGAGAGCAGAGTAACCCAGGAGAATGGGAAGGAGAGAGGTGAAGGAACTGGGATGGGGTGGAATGGAGAGGTAGAAAGTGATTTCAATTCTTACCTAAAATTTGCATTTTAAAGAAACTTGGGGAGTCTATCACTTTAGTCCAATCTTCTATTCTGTACTCATTTATTCTGTGCCTTCCATTTGCCTGACATTTGGGGGGATGTGGGAATAAGTGATAAATAAAATCCTAGCACAGTGTAGTCAAAATCATTGCATGTCCGCCCAGAACTCTGCTAAGAATGTAGAAAAGACTTCAACAGTATAAGAGCCCTGTAGTCATTCTCCCAAGTACAGAAGTTGAGTGTATATTGATGAAGATCTCAAATACATATTTTCAAGTGGAGTCTCCATCCAGAACTAGTCATTGGTTCCTACTTGTTATTTTAATTAGTGACACTGTTAAATTACCTGCCATCCCTTTTGCTCCCATTCCATGTAACCTAGGTGGAATTACACGTAACAGGAATTTAGAACACTTACTGTGAAATAGAAATCTAGAGAAGAATAAGAACTGAAATACTAAGATTTTATGCTTGGAAATGCCATGTATGTCATTACTACTAATTACTGCTTATGCAGTGACCGTAGTGTTCTAGATCCACAATCAAATGATGGATTGGGGTTGGAACATGGGACTGGGAAGGGGAGTGGGGACGACACGAAACACTTCCAAAGGAAAAGTGGCATGTATTTGTGTCTTTCCCTTTCATCCACGGTCTGTCTGAGTTATGAGGAATGAACATGAAGAGACACCGTGCAGTATCTACAAAGAAGAGAATCTAGGAGATAAAAATAATATCTAAGATCTGTATGCCACCAACTATGCTAAGCACTTTCATTTACTCTGGGAGAAGAGTACTTGTATCCATTTTCTGTCACTGTATAACAAACCTCCCCAAAACTTAGTAGTCAAAAAAAAAAAAATGGCAGTTTGCTATTTCTCCTGATTCTGTTGGTTAGTTGGGTGGTTCCT